TCTAAACCTGTCACTGCCACCAGCTGGCTCCATAACCTCTCCCATCCACAGCTTTGGGGTCTGTAAAACAAGGGGATTACAAGGCTTCTTAAACATTCGTGTGCAGATGAATCACCTGGGAACTTATTAAAAAGCAGATTCTGATTCAGAGGGTCCAGCATGGGGCCTGGGACTCTGTATTGCTAACAAGCTCTCAGGAGAGAGCCATGCTGCTCCAATACAACACTTTGAGCAGCAAGGAATTAGATTATAGTGTGTTTCTTTTAAATTCTAACAGCAGCTCTTCCCAGCTCACAATACCAAGGATATTTCCATTCACCTCCAGTCCATGGATATACATAGAAGGCTGGGACCAGTGTATCCAATTTAAAGTCTCCCCTTTTCAGTGCAGAGCGCTTCTCTTTCCTGTTACCTGGGGAACCTTCCAAGAGTGGGCGAGGAGCTTGTGTCCTGGCCTTATCTTTGCTCCTAGGTGTAGCTACTCCTTGCATAAATATATCCTTAACCGCCCTGTAGGGTTGTTAGTTTTAGTATGACGACGTGGAGTATCAGTAATCAGCATTTTCTATTTGAGTGACCCAGATGCCTAGATTAAAGAGACCAAACTGGACAGACAGCCTGCTCGCCTGAGCCGCCATTCATAATAAAGGTCAGAGATTCTTAGAGCTGGAAAGGAACCTACAGGTCTTTGAACCAGATGATTTTTTTTTTTTTTGCACACAGTGGAGGCCTGTGAAGTAAAGGGACTTGTCTAAGGCTCTGCAGCCATGGAGTGGCCGATCTGGGATGGTGCTCGGATGCCTCCGCTCCCAGGAAGCACATGCATTCTGTTCAGATGTGCAGTGAGTGCCTGGATTGAAGTTTTGAGCCTGAACAGCAAATAGTTCAAAATAGTTTTTTAGGATAGATGTGGACCATCCTCACTGTCTTTATTGAATTGCTGTCTGAATAAATGTGTTCAACCCTGTCGTGATCATTATTTTTCTCAGTGTCAACCCGTGTCTGCTGCTGATTGGTCCAAGGATATTCGAACTTGCAAGATTTTAAGTGCAAAATCTCTGAATAAATGGTTGATTGTATGTAGCAACAGAGCTGAAAATGTGACTGAGAACTTTCTGGGCTGCCTAAGAAGAGTTGGAAGTTCTATGGGATTTAATGTGGACTACCCCAAAATGTGAGAATACACTGAAAATCATCCCAGCCTCTTTAATATAGTAATTCGGTTTGGTCAGGAGCTAGGAAATAAGGGCTCAGGTAGCTATAAAAGCGTCTTTATCAGTAGAGTTTCCTAATTTGAAGTGCCAAGAAAAGAGTTGTAAGTAAATACATTTTTGCTATGATTAAATTTTATACAGCTAAAATATACTTTATGTTGGTCTTTGTAAAACTTTTTTTCCAGCTTTTTAGGCAATAGTCTCATTACCTTGAGGTTTTTTCATTGCTAGTTCAGGTATAAATTCATATATTACCTATTCAACTTTTTTCCTTTAATTCTCTCATATTATAGGAAAATAGCAGTTATCTATAAAACTTAACAGCAAGCAGGATATTTAAAAAAATTAAGTTGCATTTCCTGACTCACTTCATACATTTTAGGCTTTAAAATTGAATGTAAACATAGATTTGAAATAAGTTTTCTGATTCCATTACTATAGAATAAAATTAGTCATTTAAACAGTTTTCTGATTAAACCAAGGTCGTTCACTTAGTTTTTGAACACTTATTGAGTACCTGCTGTGTGTTAGACACTGGGCCGGTTTGGAGGGATGAGAAAGATGAAGGAGTTACTTTGAGTCTAGACAGGGATCCGTACAGACAAGCACACTCAAACCGAATATTGCTTTGCTTTGGTAAAGTCATGAAGTTGGTCATGCCTCATTTATTGATCTTGATATACTTAGTGAGGAGCGATAGACACTTTTTTTCTTTGTTATGGTGCAGATGCAGATGTCCTTATTGGCAGGGTGGGAAATCATTCTTTACACACATGGTTGCTAATTAATTACATCAGCAGTGCATGCACTGTGGAAAACCACAGATAACCCAGTCTCATTTTATACCGTAGTTTAGAATTCTCCTCTTATCAAATCTGTTAACAGATTGCCTGGTTTGAGTTTCACCTGCTCTCATTTCTCTTAAACTATAAACTAATTAATAAGGCAGGAAAAGATTAATGTAAGAAGCCACACTCAGCAGACCCTGGGCTGGCATCTTCTGAACACCAGTTCCATGAGCAAGTTCATGTCCATCTTCTGTTCCTGGCCTGTTTTATTTGAAAGTCTGTATTTTATCCCACCCTTCCCTCCCACCCCTCAACCCCCATGAAGTATTCATTTACCTGTTATATTTATATGAATAGTTTCTCCCATCTGAAACATTTACCAGATGGCTTTAAAAGGAATGGACAGTGAGATAGTGGTTGAGTCTGATTCAAGAGATTGAATTGGAAAAGTCAGAAGTTTTGAGTGGTTTAAAGAGCTGTTAAGACATTCCTACAGCTGATTGGAATCCGCAAGTAGGAGAGAGTGGTCCTGCCCTCTGGCGGGCAAGTTTTAAAAGGCCACCAGGAACCGGGCCAGGCAATCATACACACTTAAGAGAGGGTGATTCTCCATAAAGTAAGTGGATTTATAAATTCCTCTGAGTGGGAATCATTTCTGTTGCCTCTGCCCCATAACTTGCTCTAAGCACCGAACAGATAATTGATAAGTACTTGCTCACTGTTTGATTGACAAAGGCTAAATAGTCTAAGCTCCAAACAAGCTGTCATGGAAGAAAAGAAAAGCTTTTAGCCTGAATCATACAGATTCAAGAATGGCTGAACATCTTGGTCTCATTAACCTGATGATTTTTGAAACAGTTCATTTTAAAGTTCTTTATGGAGATTCGGTATTAGAGGAATCTTAATCCTAGTTTAATTTAAATCTCGTTTCAGACACTTGATATTGTGACTGGTGATTTTAAAAGTTCATTTTTAACCTCATTTTGAGCAGCAGAATTATTAATTATAGGGATTCTGTACAATTCCAAAATTTTTATTTGCCACCGAACTATTTTAAAGCTAATATAAATGATTATTAAATATTTCTGGCATGTCTTATAGTGGAAGAAACAATTTTAGACTCAAAAGCTTGTCACTTCTCTCTGATAATTTTTTCTCAAATTGCTAGTCTGTTATAAAAATACATTTGTATTATTTTAACTCCATATGGTTATGTGCTACTCAGAGAAGAATTTTATATGTTCAAAATTACTCTTTTTACGTAGCATGAAAGTACAAGAAAATCCAGCTGCATTTCTTGGCGCCATACAGAAACACGTTGATCCTGATGTTCAGTTGGTGAGTACAGGGTCATTTTATGTTTTGCTGTATAATTTCTATTTTTCAATATGTATGACAGTCTTGAAAGAATCTGAACACAGTCTCCCATGATATGTTTACAGATTGCTGTGCATTTCTCCAAGAACCCAAGAAAGTATTAACCCTTGTATTTTAATCAATATTTTATTTCTCTTTTATATGTCTATTTAGTTTAAAATTCTCCTGGTTACCCCTGTATCAGCCTCTGGGATGTCTACATATTTCTTCACTTATTGGAGGAGTCATCTTTTATTTAAGATTTAAGATAATTAACTCCTACTGTATCCCTTAAATGTTGGGGCACCTGTGTTCCACGTCACCCAGGTGTTGGCATGTCGCCCGTGACCCCATATTTTTGCTTCCTCTGAATTCTTGCCCTCCTGGGTGTGTTTCATCTTTTGTGAGTGCCATTTCCTCCTGCGTTTTATTACCCTGGGGGATTTAAATGAGCTCATGTGAGAAATGAGCCACAGTTGCCTCATTTCTCAGAGTAGGTGTGTGTGTGTGTGTGTGCGTGTGTGGTGTGAGGCTGACTTCGCAGAGCATTTGGGGCCAAGGAATAATGACATCACATTTCACCATTGCAGGTAGGTTAAAATGGACTTCCCTGTTCTTAAAAATATCTCACACCCATTCGTGTTCCTTGGTCTCAGCCTTGCACTTCATTGCAGCTGTTTTCCTGTCCCGTCTCCTTGACCTCCCGAGCTCACTCATCCCAGCTCCCAGCATTCCCACTCATATCGCACGCAGAGCGCTCTGGCTCTTTTAGTCAAATACACACAAAAAAAATGGCCCATGAGGATGTGATGTTAGATAAAGAAAATTCTCACACTATGAGCATTTTTTTAATTTAAAAAATAAAGTCAAACTTATAGAAAAGTTGCTCGTACAAAAACTCCCATATACTGTTCACTCAGAGTCCCCAACTGTTGACATTTTATCATATTTGCTTTATCATTTTCTATTTTTCTATCAATCATCTATTATTCTATATATCTAAATCTATTTTTTTCTAAAACCATTTGAGATTGAATTACAGACATGATGTTCTATTACCCTTGAATACTTTAGTACGTATTCCCTGCAAATGAGGTCGCTCTCCTGAGAACCATAAGACAACCATCAACACCAAGAGTAAATATGCCCAGCTAATCCACAGACTCTGAACATTTCTCCATTCATCTCAAACACATCCTCTCTAGTAAGAGGATCTAATGTGTTGCACGTAGTGGTCTGATCTCTTTAGTCTCATGTGCAACGTGGAACAGTTCCATCATTTTTCCTCATCTTTGATGACCTTCTAATTTTGATGAGTATGGACCAATTATGTATATAATGTCCCTCAATTTGAGTTTGTCTGATGTTTCCTTTTGATTAAATTCAGGTTATGCAGTTTTGGCAGAAGTACGATTTTTTGTTTTTACTTCCTCCTATCAGTACCCCATTGATTAAGGTGGTATTGGTCAACTTTCCACCATCAAGTTACTCTTTTTCTCTTTGTACTTAGTTAGGGTTGGTTTGTTTTAGTAGGGAGGTACTTCGGCACTATGTGAATATCTGTTCCTCATCAAACGCCTATCCACTCATTTTAGAATCCATTGGTAGTTCTGTTTTGTTGTTGTTACAAATACATGTGTTTAAACACATGAAACACTTCACAAATTTGTGTGTCGGCCTTGCACAGGGGCCAGGCTGGTCTCTAAATCATCCCAGTTTCAGTGCATGTGCTGCTGAAGCGAGCACTCCGTTGGTCATTCTTGTCTGAACTCGTTAATACTCTGATGGTTGCCTGTCTTGGCCTTCTGATTCCATACTTCCTTCTACATTTATTAGGTGGTATTACTTTATAAAGAAAAGCTTCCTTTTCTCTCCATTTTGTTGTTCATCTATTTATATCAGTGTGCATTCCTATTTACTAACTTAAAGTCCATGACAGCTATTATTTATTTTGATGCCAAATTGTCCTTGGGTTTTCCTGTGAAAGCTCCATCCAAGCCTTTTGACATTTCCCCAATTTTCTTGGAACACACCCTTACTGTCTTGTACAGTAAGATATTTCAAGTTAAGAGGAATTCCGTCAAGATGGAGGCGTAGGTGGAAACATTGTGCATTCTCACACAACCAAGTTTAAAAACAACAAAGTTTTAGCAACAAAAACGCAGCCAAACCACAGAAAATTGAACTATACAGATGTCCAACAACAACGAACCATTCAGCCAGACCAGTAAGAGGGGCAGAGCCAGCAGCAGAGCTGGCTCGGGCAGGAAAGATCCACCTGACTGACCCAGGCGCATGACCCAGGCACGCAGGCAGCCGCCATGGGCGGGTCCAAGGTGTGGAGTAGCAACAGGCAGACCCACTGAGGGCGCAAGGTGGCAGGCTGATCTCGGTCACACATTCACATGCAGATAAACCAGGTAAAGGAGCGAGCAGTGAGACAGACCATGCAGGCCCCAACAGCGGGAAGCAGCAGAGAGGACCGCCATTGTCCCTGTCTGACCCCACCCCCACATACAGCATCACAACCCAGCAACCTGGGTGGCCCCACCCTGGTAAACAACTAAGGCTCTCTGCTCCTCATATGTAACAGGCACAAACAGACCAAAACATGGCTCAAGAAGAACTCAAAGCTCCAGAGCCGATAAATCTAAGCCAACAAGAAATTGCCAAACTTTCAGATGCACAGTTCAAAACACTGGTGATCAGGATTCTCACAGAACTGGTTGGTTTTAGTCACAAATTAGAGGAACAAATGGAGGCTAAACTAATTAAAATGAAGGGAATTGCACAGGAAACCAATAGTGATGGAAAGGAAACTGGGACTCAAATCAAGGGAGCAGACCAGAAGGAAGGAAAAAAATGACCAAACAGAAAAATATGAAGAAACAAGAATTCAGAAAAATGAGGAGAGGCTTAGGAACTTCCAGGACATCTTTAAACGCTCTAACATCCGAATTATAAGAGTACCAGAATGGGAAGAGAAAGAGCAAGTGGAAAACCTATTTGAATAAATAATAAAAGAGAAATTCCCCAATCTGGCAGAGAAAATAAACTTCCAGGAAGTCCAGAAAACTCAGTGAGTCCCAAAGAAGTTGGACCCAAGGGGGAACATACCAAGGCACATCATAATTACATTAGCCAAGATTAAAATGAAGGAGAGACTACTAGAAGCAGCAAGAGATAAGGGGACAGTCACCTACAAAGGAGTTCCCATCAAACTGTCAGCTGATTTCTCAAAAGAGACCTTAGAGGCAAGGAGGGGCTGGAAATAAGTATTCCAAGTCATGAAATCCAAAGACCTACAGCCAAGATGGCTCTATCCAGCAAAGCTTTCATTTAGAATGGAAGGACAGATAAAGTGCTTCTCAGATAAGATCAAATTCAAGGAGTTCATCATCACCAAGCCATTATTATATGAAATGTTAAAGGGACTTACCTAAGAAAAAGAAGATAAAAAAGATGAACAGTGAAAGGACAGAAAACTCACAGTTATTAACAACCACACCTAAAACAAAAGCAAACTAAGGACAGCTAGATCAGGAGCAGAACCATAGAAATGAAGATCACATGGAGGGTTAGCAGCAGGGGAGTGGGAAGAGGAGAAAGAGGGAAAAGGTACAGAAAATAAGTAGCATAGACAGTAGGTAGAAAATAGATGGGGGGAGGGCAAGAATAGTATGGGAAATATAGAATCTAAAGAACCTGAGACACGTGGTCATAAACTAAAGGGGGAAATGGTGGGGGAGGGGTATGCAGGGTGGAGGGGAATGAAGGGGGGAATAGAACAACTGTAATAGCATAATCAATAAAATAGATATTTTAAAAAAAGATATTCCAAGTTAAACCTGAAGTTTTGTTGCCCAGCTGTGGAATCAGAAGGTTCTCTCATGAGCCCTGATTCCTCTGGGTGGAGAAGAGTGTTTGGAAACCAAGGTCTGGGCATTGGATGAGCTCATTTGCTCCTGGAGTGTCGCTGTTGCAGGCTGTCTCAGTGGGCAGATGAGGGCAAATACTCGTATGTATGTGTTTATGTGTACATACACACATATACATTATGGACAACTACACCTATTTTATACTCTGTGTATCTGTATATATTAAAAACATGTGCATGCCTCCAGTTCCATCTCAATGCCACAAAAAAGCATTCTCCTTTCCAAATTTGTACCCCCCTTCTCTGATAGAGAGTAACTCAGCTGCCATTAATCACCAAACATTTGCTTGCTTCTCCAACCCTGATATGTGACCGGTCTCACTTGGCTCTGCCTTCTTTCTATCCTGGTCCCATCGGGCGCCTGCCTTGTTCTGCCACTGAGCTTGCTTGGCCCCAAACTCACAGGATGAAAGGAAGGAAGGCTCCTAAGAGAATTTTGCTGACAATTTAAAAATACTTTTCCCCACTTTATTAATGAATTGTAAATAATTTTAGTGGGATTATGATTTTGAACAGATCTGTAGGTGAAAAAAAATCACTTCATTTGTTTTCTTTTGCTAATTGTGAGAGTGACTATCTTTTCTATAATTTGGGGGGGTTGAAAGTAGGGAATAGGAGCTAGAAAGGAGACAGAGGTAGTCCAGGGGCGATCCTTCTGTGAGGGAAACCTGATAAGAAATAGGGGCAGTGACAGAGATGGGCGGAACTAAAAAATACCTGAAGTTTCTTTCTCTTTATTTTCCCACTTCCCATATCCCCATTTTCGAGTACCAGTGAACAAAAAAAATGTTTAAAAAAATTTTTGGTTGTTCAGTTCCTAATGGGGAAAATACCACATTGTAAGCCGATTCTTTTTCTGTGGGTGAAGCTGGGAGGCAGAGGGAATGAGAGCTGGAGCCACAGAAGAAGGGCAGGGAGAAAGCGGGGAGGGAGCTGGGGCAAGAGCTAGGCTACAAGGGAACTTGAGGGCACTAACAGAATCAAACCAGTAGAGAGATGAAGGGGAAGGGAAAGCCAAGGGTGATGGGGAAGGTAAGCCTGGAGTGGGGCTTGGTGGAGTGGATGGCTGATGAGAAGGCCTTTCAAATGGCCGTAATTGTCAAAGTTAAAGACCTGGAGGCATGTTCATTGTTTTTTCTTGAGAACTTAAGGACAAAGAATGTTGGAGAATCCATGTATTCAATTTTTCTTTATAAATCTATCTCTAAGTGTAAGTAAATTGACTTGTTGTTCATTTTGTTTTTAGGTAATGTGTATTCTGCCTTCCAGTCAGCAGAGCTATTACGAGTCGATTAAAAAATACTTGAGCTGCGACTGCCCCGTCCCAAGCCAGTGTGTGCTGGTTCACACCTTGAGTAAACAGGGAATGATGATGAGTATCGCCACCAAGATTGCCATGCAGATGACCTGTAAACTCGGAGGCGAGCTGTGGGCCGTCGAGATTCCTGTGAGGAGCCTTCACTCTTTTCCTTTTAGTAATCCTTCAATTGATTAATTCATTTTAAAAGTCAAATCAAAGTAAGAGAGATTTTTGCATGACCCCAGAAGCATTTGTTTTGCTTGTTGAGCCTCTGCTCTGAGTTTCAGCAGTGCACAAGCCACCGTGAAGGTGCGCAAAGGTGAGGCATGGACCCTGCTCTCAGGGAACTCCAGGTAAACCGGCAACAGATATTTTATGAAAGAGAATCTAGTTTGGCATAGACTCGGAGGGACTTGATTTGGAGCCTTCTGACGGCTATTAAAATCTCTTCCATGGGCTCTGCTTTTACCTGATTTCACAAGGCACCAACTTTCAGAGTGGCCTTGCACCCTGGATGCTCCTCCAAGACCTTGGAGAACTGGCAGAGTCTGTGAGCTCAACCTCCAAACTGTGTTGAAAACTGAGAAAGTCCTCTCTCTTTCTTGAACCATTGCCACTGTGGGAGGAAGTGAGGGGATGAGAGAAATAAGGGACTATTGGCCATTGTGTTTCTATGAACAGAGCACATGGGGCAACTCCCAGTGGCCCCTCTGGAGGTACAGAGCCAGGTGAGGATGAGTATTCCTTAGAGGTCTGGAGAAGAAAGAGAAAATTCCTCTTCAGATTCCTTCATCCCAGAGGCAGCGGGTAAATGGACTGACCGCCTTCCCAGAATCTTTTGAACCAACAATGGCCCCTGGCCTTCTCCACACAAGTTAGTTGCTATTTTAGACTCTAGTGAGTCTTTTAAGCAAAGTGTGTATCGTATTCTTCCCCTCATCTGTCAGTCTCTTTGGCTTCTGGTTTAATAATCAGCCTTACCTGGACTTTGACCTCTCTGGCACCTAGCTTAACATGAATAATTAAGTGAGTAGAGATATATTTTTAAAGATTTTACTTATTTATTTTTAGTGAGAGGGGAAGGGAAAAAGAAAGAGAGGGAGATAAACGTCAATGTGTGACTGCCTCTTGTGTGCCTTATACCTGGGACGTAGCCTGCAACCCAGGCATGTGCCCTGACTGGGATCCGAACCAGCGACCCTTTGGTTCACGCACCCACACTCAACCTACTGAGCTATACCAGCCAGGGCAATAATTTTTTTTTTAATTTCATATTAACTCAATTGTTTGGGGAAACAATACTTCACCCCATTAAGTCATGAAAAATTTAATTTTACAGTTAAAGTCCCTGATGGTAGTTGGCATTGATGTCTGTAGAGATGCATTCAACAAGGGAACCGTGGTGGTTGGATTCGTGGCCAGTGTTAACCTCAGAATCACCAGGTAGTTTTAAAATTAGCCTAACATATTCTTCTTCTATCTAGACTATTAATTGTGGCTTAATTAAAG